GAAGACAGCATTGCAGAAAGAAGGTTTCAGCAGAATCAAGCAGTCTGGATGGCAACAGTGGTCCCCAGCCTTTTTGGTACCAGGAAGTGGTTTCATGGAAGACAATTTTTCCATGGACAGGGGGAGGTGAACAGTGAGTGATGGGAATCAGCTGTAAATACAGATGAAGGTTCACTTGCTGGCCCACCAATCGCCTTCTGCTGCTTGGCCCAGTTCCTAACAGGTTACAGACCAGTACTAGTTTGCAGCCTGGGGGTTGGGGACCGCAGGTGTATAAGACATAAATGATAGAGAGATCAGTTGAATGGATGGATGGATGGATGGATGGATGGATGTCTTCCCTACTGTACCAACCTTTCCTCCCAGCTCCCACACAAGTTTATTTTTACTGTCTACATGACACCACGAATGCAGGAAGCTTCAATACAAAGAGAGATCCCCTAATTTTCAGTGTAAAATCCAGAAGCTTCCCCCGTGAATAGAAAAAGGGAGCACTACCGTGACTACTTTATGTAGCTCTTGGTGACGCCTTTGGTTTCTGTGTAGCCCATTAAGCTTCCCTCGGCTTGGTCAGTGAGGATACAGTCACACACCTGTAAGAAAAATCCACAGAACCCAAATGATTTAAAGCATATGCCACTTCCCAGCTGTTAAATGAAGGCATGCTTCTTGGTGGGGCATTTTCTTTCATTTTTTGCTTTGTTATGTGATACTTGACCTCTGCTCCCTTCACCCCTCAAGCAGCTGCTTCCTCCTCTGACCTGTTGCTGCATTTTTTTCGTGGCAGTGGATGGCAGGTGGACCTCATGGAGCAAGTGGTCTACCTGTGGGACAGAGTGCACCCACTGGCGCAGGAGGGAGTGCACGGCACCAGCCCCCAAGAACGGAGGCAAGGACTGCGATGGCCTCGTCTTGCAATCCAAGAACTGCACCGATGGGCTTTGCATGCAAAGTAAGTCAGTTTGAGCAAACTGCAGACACCGATGGGACCTGAGGTTGAACCATTTGAATTTCTTTAAAGAAAATATTAGCAATGAAGAAGTCTTTGAACAACAAAAAATGCAATGATATAGAAATAGCCTAACTCTCTCTCAAAAATGGGAAAAGCTAATCTTCCAGGAACCAGAATGAAAATAACTGTGTCCAGTTAACAAATGACATAGAGCGTTGCTATCCCACGAGCAAGGGGTGAGATAGCCATTTCCATGGAGGGGCTGCCATTCTTTCCAGACCAGGGAACCATTGCTCAGTTTTCTCAGAGTGCACAAAAGATGATCCTCAACTTCTTAAAGAGTCATAACATGACTTTCAAAAAATGAATTATTTATTCATAATTCACGACTGGTACTGAACCAATGTCCATGGAATGTGAAATGTATATAAAGATCATAAACATTTCTACAGGTAGACATATCAATTTGCAAGAAACGTTTAATAAGAACATCTTCATAACCCCTTGAAAATTCTGGATTTGTGTTAGAAATTATAATGTGGGTATGATTTAGTTTATTTAAAGGAAATAATGTTAATAAGACATAGATTTTTCAAATGAGTGCAGAAGATTGGCCCGGGAAAGTAATGAATACTATAAGCTAAATATTCTCTATTTTTCATGTCTTGTGCCTTAGATTTTTATAATGAGATAGTAGTTTGATTTCCATACTTGCAACCTCTTACCCCTTTATTAAGGAGCCTTTAGGCGTTCACAATTTACCATCTCTTTTCATGATCATGAATTAAGGTACTGAGGAATTGTTCTGAAATCACACTGTTCAGATGAACAAATCAAACAGTATGCTGTCTTTGGATCTGAACTAATGGTGGCCAAATGTTGACATTTCTCATAACACATTACAAATTGCTTGCAGAATACAAGCATTCAAAGGCATTTGTGCATTTGGGAAGAGGTATTTGTATTTGCCTTTAAAGAATAAAATATTTTGTTTTCACCACACTTA